GAGAGTTTCAAGCAGACAAAAAAAAAAAAAAAAAAACAAAAAAAAAAAAGATAAAAAAACAACCCGTTACAGTCGCCACAGAGCGGCAGGTGCCTGAGGAGAAATAGTGCTTTGAGTCTCAAAGTAACGCTGCCGCCATTTTTCTAATAAAAAAATAAAAAATAAAAAAATGTGACAACAACAAGAACCCACGTGAATGTGCAGAATAAAGAAAAAAAAAACTTTTTTATATTGTAATACAGGACAACTTAGGCTGACATTAATCACCTTACAATGTTGATGCTTTTTTAATTTATTTTAATTTATAAAAATGTATTTATTTAAGAGTTTGAAATTGATATTATTATTTTATTTATCTACCTTATTTATTAGTGTGCGTTTGTAGGCCTTCGCTCAATAAGCTCTTGTGCCATTTTTTAAATAACTCTTCTTTTCTTAAACCGCAGGATTTTTACTGCAGACTTTTGCTTGTGTAGATAAACGGTCAGCCCGAAGAAAACGGACGCAGAGGGTCAAAGGTCATGACAAATCACCGGGGGTGTACGGTACAATACGCGCAGTCGTACTGCTCTTATGTAACAGGTACTGCTGAATGCTTTGTGTTGCTGAAAACTGTGTCGTAACCCGACTGTGTCAGCGCAGACAGACGCAGCGAGGAGGGCGATGGTAGGGCCGCATTCCTCAGTTTAGGAACGTCGCCTTTAGGAAACAAACAAGTCTGGATTGTAATGTACATTTATTACACATGCAGTTTATGGAATGTGTGTGTTTGTGTGTGTTCACTGATGTGTGTGTGAATCATAGACTGTGTATAAGAAGTATTTGGAACCACATTTTTGCCAACAACAGCAACACATCATTTTATCAGTCAACTGGAACAATATTGCTTTTCGCTGCTGTGCAGATGACACTCAAATCTACACCACTTTTATTTAAAGTCATTCTAAATCAGTAGGTCACATATAAAAAGATTTATTAATAAAACTTTTTAAAATCTTAACTTACAATATTTGAAATGATTTCTTTTAGAAATGATAATAAAGATAATTAGTGGCTAAATTAATTTGGAACTAAGCTTATTTTTAAAAAACCAAGATGCACTAATTATTAGTCATTTATTAAAATAAAATCAGTGAAATACAATAGGGAGTTTACACTGGTACGGGGCAATTTCACCATATTTCCCGACTTCCGTTTGTGACTGAAAGGTTTTGTCCATTTCTTATATACGGTCTATGTCTGTGTGGGTGAGTGTGGGTGAGACAGTGTGTGAGGAAAGTAGTAGAAAATAATTGTGTGGCTGCACATTTGTGTGCATACGTGTGTGTGTAGAATGTGTTTGTCCGCGCTTTTCCAGTATGTGGCATTTTAGACATTTCAGACCCTGAAAGGAGTCATTTGTAGGATCTGAATATGCAAGTGTGTGTGTGAGTGTGTGTGTGAGAGAGAGAGAGTTAATGTTACTTTACTACATTGTGGGTTTCTGATGAAGGAGATGAAAAGCATTTACTGATTTTTGAAGACAACCACAGAAATGTGTTTACCTTTGACTAGAAGAATAAAATAAAAGAGAAAAAAAACTGTAAATTGATCCAAGAATGATTAACAAAGCCAATTAAAATCTTTTTGCAAATTTGCTTTGGTGTGCTTTTTTTCTGTGCTGTGATTTCAGCAGGTTTTTTTCCCACGTGTTTGTTCTTCTGTGATGGGAAGTTCTGCGTCTGTTTCTGCCACGCTGCACTTCTAAGTATGAGTTCTGTGAGCAGACAGTAATCATGCTCTACATATTCTTGGTGTAAAACCATCAGCCTCTTGCTTTCGGAGTCACCGTCACTTCAGCTGCTATAAAACATCATGACAGCGCGGGGGTGAAGTGGAGGCTGTACATCTCACACTCTATCCATCTTCTTTTTCCCTTTAAAAAAGGGAGGGGGAAAATGAAAACACCTGCGAGCCATTTGTGTCTCCACATATCTGTCTCCCTCAATCTCTCCGACCCCCACCTCACCCTCCCCCTCACTCCCCCCAGCCCTGTCAGTTTTGTACTAATCTCTGTACCAAAACAGTGAGATGCTGACAGTGGGAGGAGACGTGTGTCTCACATTCACTAAACTCTGTGTCAACACGGTGGACAGATAAGAGCCGGCCTTTGATGTCACAGATTTAGCAAAAGAGGATTACAGCCAACCAGATTCTTTATGGCGTTCTGAATCCTCTCGCAGAAATGTGGCTCTTCTGAAATAAGTCTTGGAATTCAGTGAAGAAGGTCTGACTTTTTTCTGTCAAAATCATAAGAAAACAGTCTTAAAAAAATTAAATACAGACTATAGAATCAGATTTTAACTATATACTGTATGTATATATATATATATCAATTTGAATCGCCTACTACTAAAATAGAGGTAACATTTCTGTAGTGATGTGAAGATGAAAATAACTTTAAGAAACCTTCAGATTTAAACGTCGTAATTACCTCAGCTCAGCGTCACTAGTCTCTAACAAAAGACAAAAGAAGGATTTTTTTCTCCAGTAAAAGGATTTCGAGGAGTGGAGCAGATTACGCAGATTTAATCTGACTTCAGTCTCGGAGCCTTTAGAGAATAAAAAAAGAATCTGAGTTCTAAATGTTCTAAAAATGAAGCCAGAATTCTGAGACTGAAGTCGTGTTGACTAGTCGGAGAACTTGGATTAAAGTCAGGATCTAATCTGTAATCTCAAAGCGCAAAAGGAAACAAAATTCCACTTCCTACTTAAGAAAAGCAGACCAAAAACAGACCTGACGTTGCATAACAGAAACTGAAGACATTTTTCTGCGTGTGTGTGTGTGTGTGTGTGTGTGTGTGCTGCTCTGGCCGAGGCATTCTTCCCTTAATCAAATACATCTCATGTGCTTGACGTCTTCCTTGACGTAATGTTGGTTGAGTTGACTTGCACTTAACCAATGAAGTGATGGCATCTATTAATGTCTGTTCTGCAGCTGCTCCGCTCCACTGTGAGGCGGCGGCTGCTGATTGGCTCTGACATTCGTGCATTATTTTGATTGACAGATAATTGCTGAGTATTACATTAGATCTTGGCTTACGCTGCCTTGCCTGGTTCTAGGCCTGGACTTGTGCATCAGCGTCTCAGTGTTTTGACACCAGGAACGGTTGGAGGGGCTTTACCTCCTACTCCCAGGCTTAAGTTGAAAACGTAAACCGTCATTTTGCGGGAACGGGCCTGTTTTTCTGGCAGCGTGAAGTTCTCTGGGTTGTTACATAACAGAGTGAACTTTTTATGTCTTAAGGTTTTAGCAGGGGAATACTTCAGATCAGGGGTTTCAAACTCAGTCAAGTAGGGGGCCACGGGGCTGGTCCTCGTCTTCAATGACCACAACATTATTACATTAAACTTCCTACAGTCTGTTCTGGATTAGTTTAATATGAAACAATGACCTTTTAATTTGTGTAGTCGAGTCATTGACCAGGACGTTACAAATGCTGTTATAACAGCAGGGAGGGAGAACAAACAACACACTCCATGTCAGTGATGATGATTTTATCACAAATCTTCTTGTTTTCTAAAATTGTTTAAAAAAATGTATTTAGAGTTCCTAAAATCCCAGCCCCTAACCCCCCTCCCCTCCCCTTTCTATTGCCCCATCATTTTCAGTGGCAGAAGGTTTTTTCGGTTGCATTAATGTGGCCTAGTTTTTTTAAACGGGCAGACATTTTGATCCAGATGTTAATATAAAAACACAGACAGACAGAGAGTCACCTCCAGTCTTCTAGTGGTCCATTAAAATGGCTTACATGTGATTGTGTTTTCCTTTCTTTTCATCTGTCTGTTCTGCTCATCTCTGAAGGTAACATTAATTGATCTGCTCTCTGTTTTAATGAAAGGCTCAGGAGTGTTACAGCTAGATTAGATGTCCTACCTTTCCCTGAGCCGCTGACACACACAGTCTGATGTTTCCTGTGCTGCAGAGATGTCTGATCGGCGCTCTGTCCAGGCTCTCAACCAGAGAGACATTCTATTAACCAAATGAGATGACCTCTCCAGTGTTTGGAGGCAAATTATCGTTTTCTGAATCATTTAGCGTGAGATAGCCGTGTGCAGCATGAGGACGGCCGTGCTGTTTTGAAGAATTCCCTTGACAAGCTGCACCGTCTGGTCCAGACAATCAAACAGATGCTTCCTCCTTGGAGAACTTGTTAAGACTCACAACATCAGTGAGACGATTACTGAGACAAGTGCTGCCTTCAAGGGCTTCCAGGGAAGTCTAAAAATGCCCCGTACTATGAAAATAATGAAATAATAAACTTTTTTTTTGTCAGGTTTAATTTTGGACAAAGTAACTTTTTCATTCTATGTGCACCTGAATTAAAGAGACAGTGGAGAATAAGAAAATAAAAACGTCTACTTATTTAAAAAACACTTTATTCACCAAACAGGAAAATTTAAAAAAATATATAACATTTCCAAAATATTATCAAAAATAAAGCAATCTCTTTTTATTCCAACTTGGATTCTTCTGGAACTTTCAAATTGTACTCGTTCCCTGGGGGACAGTTTTACCAGAACACCAAAGGAAACTCGTGCACTGAACAGTAATGTTTACTCTGTAATATTAATTTTGAACTGAACTTAGAGAATTACATAATTAATTCATTTAAATAATTTACTGAGTGGGATAAGTAAATCTAACGAGAAATTTTAAATAGTATTTAAATATATTTTTGTCAAGGCACTAAACTTGTGCTAAGTAAGTTATTTATATAAATTAGTAGGTCTTAATTTGCACCTGCGCATCCGGTCAGAAGGAATGCTGGGAAATGCAAAATGTCTGCAGCCTGTCGATAGCGGGAATCTCCGTTTTTCAGAGTGCCGTTACACGTAAGAATTCCCTCTTATTGTCGAGGTTTGAGCTCATTTATGGTTTATTGTTCACTTTGGTGCTAGTATTTTGGTGTACTTACAATATACTAAGTAACTGTTCGTAGTTAGCCTCAATT